TTACGAGTTAGTTGTACATTGATAATACGTAAACTCATCAGTAACTTGATGATATAAAACTTATTGTTGTGTGTGATTGATGAGTAAATATTACAAGCATATGAGTCGAAGTTTATATGTTCCTTTTGCTCTAACGGGTAAAAGCGATACCTATGGGCCCCTCGATGATTTGATGATGACATGTACAACGCTTGGCCAAGCTTGGACTGAATTGATCTATTTAATTAGTAGTATGTTATCAGTTGTCATAAATCAGAAATCGGGAAACAACCCTTGGACAGAGAGATTGATTATAATCCATGTCTTATGTCCATACGATATCTTGTAAAATGGAGGAATGTTTGATACCTTATCTAAAGGACACATAACTGACAAGATCAAAGTTCGACAACGGCTTTTGAAAGCTACGATTGCTGCTCAAATTTTGAGGTCATAATTACAATCATAGTTATTAGACTTAAACAAGTGGGAGACTGTTGGATTGGGTGTCTAAGCCCATAACTATAATTGGTATGTACTTAATTTGATAGTAGCATGGTCTTTTGGGTTGCCCCACCCTAGAAACTTGATAGGATGACTTTTGGAGAGAGAGGTTGAATTTATTATTTAGAATAATAAATTGATTTATTAATTTATTATGAAAATAATATTTTAATAGAAATCATGTTATTTAATTAGTATTTAATCAGAAATTAATTTTGGGATTAAAGGAAGTGATTAAAGGAACAGGGGTTGTTTTGCAAATCGTTGATAGTTGTGAAACTGGGCTAATGGAATCCTTAGATGGGAGTAGACGAAAACTAAAGGGAGACGCTATAGGTTTCATATAAGGCCTATTAGTAAAGAGTCTATGAGCTGCTTAAGCCTTAAGCATGAAATTAGAGTTTCCTACATAAAACCCTAGCATCCTACAGGTATATAAAGACCCCATCACCTTTGGATTTTCGGCCAATGCTTAAATATAGAGATCCCTGGCCGAAATTCTTAGGGAATTCCTGCTCTCTCCTCTCATCCTCTTTCTAGTGGTGTTTGTAAGCCATTAGAGGTGCAACATTTGAGGCACTAAGCTTTCAAGAGTCAAGGATTTACAAGAAGTTCTTGTTATTGCTACATAACAAGTAAGGTAATCATCAAAACCCTTTTGTTATATGATTTTCGAAATTGTATGCTAGATCTAGGGTTTATTGCTTTAGTATTCAACTGCATGTTCAACTAGTGAAAAACTTAGATCCAAAGCAATTAGGGTTGCATGATCACATAGGATGAAGTTATGCTCATAACTCATCAGGAATAGTGTCTAATCGATCTCTTCACATAGGAAGGACCAAAGAGAAACATAGTATGCATATTTATAACATGGCATGACTAATGTTTAATTCAATTGTTTAGTTAATTACTCAAAACATTATACAATTAATAAAGTCTAATTAATATGGTGATTAAATAATAATAGTTTTATTTATACTCAATAGTTTTGAGACCGTAGTTGGTTTGGTTATTATTGTTTTTCATTTTGCATGTTTTACTACCTGAATAATTGGAATATTCAAATATCCACAGTTGATCGTACTTTTCAAAGTATGTAGCGAAGTAAGACTTTCATGAATTTCTTGTAGATTGTCTATGGGGATTAGACATAGCAATTGTTTGCTGTAATGTTCATGAGTACTTGGAAATAGAGATTTTGAGTACTGGATTAACCCACCCTCAAAGAATTACTTCATGGATTTTATCACGAGTAATTTTGAGACAATAATATCTTATATTCTTAAATGGAGATATATGAGTTGTTGTTTACGAGTTAGTTGAGAATTGATAATACGTAAACGCATCAGTAACTTGATGTTATAAAACATATTGGTGTACGTGATTTAATGAGTGAATAGTATGAGCATATAAATCAAAATTTATCCATTCATTTTGTCCTATTGGGAAAAGAGATACATGTGGGCCCCTCGATGATTTGATGATGACATCTAAAGTGCTTGGCTAAGCCTAGACTGAATTGATGTGTTCAATTGGTAGTCTGATTTTAGTCATCATAATTTAGAAATCGGGAAACAAAATCTTGGACAATGAAGTTGATTATAATCCATGTCTCATGTCTATATGATATCTTGCAAAAGGAGGAATATTTGATCACTTATCTTAGACACACAACTGATTGGGTCATAGTTCAACAGCGGCTTTGAGAGCTACAATTTGTTGATTAGTTTTTTGAAGGATATATTGGCAACTATAGTTATTAGACTTATCCAAGTGAGAGACTGTTGGATTAGGTGTCTAAGCCCATAACTATAATTGGTATATACTTAAATTGATAGTAGCACAATCATTTTGGGTTGCCCTCAAAACTAGACACTGGATAGATGATTTTGGAGAGAGAGGTTGAATTTATTATTTGGTTGATATAATGAAATAAATGATTTTCTAATATATTATGAGAATAATATATTAATTGGAAAGAGTAATATTTAATTAATATTTAAGTAGAAATTAATTTGAACTAATTTTGGGATTAAAAGAATTAAGTAAAGTGCACGGAGTGAATTGTAATTGTTCAATAGTTGAACAAGAGACAATCCAGAATCATCCACATGGTGGGGACGATTTCTTGGAGCCCAAGGGTTTCTAGAATAATCCCTAGTGGATAAATAGAAAAGTGGATAATAACCCGGTTTAAGATAATCTTGGATTTGGCCTTATCTAGGGTTTCCTGACTACACTATAAATAGGGTATAACCCTATGATTTTCGGCCAACCTTCTTTATAAGAGATACAACCGAAATTTCTAGTATCTTACCTCTTTTTTCATCAACTTCCTTTGCTAGTTTTGGGTGTGAACCATTATAGGCGCGAAATTTGTGGCACTTGCTCTCAAGGCTTCAACAACACAAGGTTTTCATTCTTATTACTACATAACAATTGAGGTATGATTTTCTTAACCCAAATTATGTATTTTTATTATATACTAATGTTCTAGGTTTTCCACCTTGTTTTTCAATTTGTATGTTCAATTAGATAAAACGTAGATAAAAATTTTAGGGTTGCATGCACACATAGGATTTTTTGTTATGCTCAAAACCCATGAACATATAACTTCTAACTCACAGGATCAAAGTAACGGTATCCTTTCTGTCCAACACCATACCCTAAAAATACACAAATAGCATAATTCAGTCCCAATTGTTCCTCTCAACATGAGGACGAAGAACAAAACAAGTACATCCAAAAAATCGTAAGGCATATTAGTCTGGTAGGTGACAATATAGATTCTCAAAAGGACTCATTCATGAATTCAATGAAGTATGGATACGATTAATCACATAAATAGAAGTTAAGGTTGCTTTTCTCTGAAAGGCACTAGGGAACTGCACAGATAGGAGCAATAAACGGGTTGTCTCAGTTTCCGTTTGCCACATTGTTTTATTGAGAGTATCAGTACACGATGAATGGCATATGGTACCTCAAAAGAAAGTAAGTAGGTAAAGTCATTATAGGTATATTCAACCCTTAAGTAACACCTGAAGCATATTATCCCAACCGAATGTTAAGTTTTAACAAGAGCTCTAAAATAGTTGTAAATGCCAAGGATATCAGATCTGCGTTTCATAAGATAAACCTAGGTATACTAAGTATAATCATCTATGAAAGATAAATAATAATTTGACCCACCCATTTTAGATACTGGTGTAGGACCCCCCACATCAAAATGAATAATATCAAAAGGAACAGTAGAACAAGACATACTTTTACTGAAATGTAAAGTAGAGAATTTCGCTAGTTTACAACCACTAAAATCAGAAATATCAAAAGTGTTCAAATGATCCAAAACACCACTAGATGCTATATAACTCAAATGTGATACATACACATGTCCCAAACTAGAATGCCAAAGATAAAACTCAGACGAAAAAGGACTCAAATGAAAAGAAGACAAATCAATTCTAGATGCATCAATATCAAACACTTTGAGGACCTCCAACACATATAGTTCCTAAACCTTACGACCAATACCAATCACCTTTTTGGTGTGTTAATCATGCATAAGACAAACATAATTAGAAAATAACATCCAATTACCAGACTTACACAATTGACTGACTGCAACAAGATTTAAAGTAAGTTTGGGAATGTAATAAACATCAGAGAGAGTGATATGAGAAATAGAAATAGACCCAACACCCTCGAATGTAATAGATGTATCACTAGTAGACATAACAGATATTAATGACACATATGACAAAGAAGTAAATGATGACAAATGATGAGTCATGTGATAGGTTGCACTAGAATGTAAAATCCATAAAGATGATGGAATACTAGATGTATTTGATGAAGTAAGACCATCATGAGACATAGATGCAAACATGGAAGTGGTATTTGAGACCAAATTGATGGGATTAAAATCCGTAATGATCGACAAGATTCAAATAGGTAAATAAAAAACACGAAGAAAATCAAACTAATGTTGAATGATTAAAAATCACGCCTCAGATGAACTCAATGAAGAATTTCAACTGTAGAGGTGTGCTAGGGTTACAAGATCAATAAGACAATTAACTAAAATAAGATGTATGCATGCACCATATATAGTCAAACCCTAATATTAAATACGAGAGGACAGGCCTAACCTGTTTACAAAAATGACTAATGATAAAGACCAATGAAGCAACACTTAAATATTTAACAATCTCCCTTTTTCCGTCAATTGAGTCTGTAACCCATCATTCAGTGATTCTCTTCTGCACTTCGTAGATTTTCAGACTAAAGCTCAGTGGCATCTTGCGAGCATGGATGTACCACAATATCATATCAGAAAAGCAGTTCACGTCTTCCTTGTGGTTGCCCTTGAACTTGGTGATCAGGTCCAATATAAATTTTAGATAGGCAGTGTCGTACAAATGTTTGTCTTTGAGATAGAAGTAAGACTTGTGAAAGTCAACTTCTATTCGTTCTCTGATTTGATACAATACGAACCATCCTTCCTTGTATATCTTTCATGGCTTTAATTTCTCAAAGTCTTTCGGAGCTTCCTTAGGAACAACAGTCAACTTCTTCTTCAATACAATGGCAATATCCACATCCAGCGATCCATCCTATTGAATATAAGACTTGATCATAAGTTGGAGATGGGATATTATAGGCTCGTACTTCTCTTTGTCTCTCAGAAACATGTTGTAAAGTACAATCCAATCATTAGGATTCAAGAAAGGAAAGTCTGTGAGGGTGAATTTATAGGCTTAACAAGCTTATCCTCTCGCTACTTTAAACTTTGCATTGGGGAACTTTCAATCTCTATCGGCCCAGTGACCTTCACAGCAACTATATTATGTGCGCTCCAAGTTTCATATTGGGGCTTCATGTGCTTTAAGTAAAAGGAGAACAACATTTGATCGGCACTACTGTCTGTGAAAGGAGCATTCGCAACCTTCACAAAAGCACGAAACCTGAATGCTTTTGGAGTGATTAGAAGATCAAGTTGCGAATCCTGAGAATTTTGACGATCAATGTACGTAATAGGATCCAACTAATATTGACTAGGAATCTCCACATCATCATGTTGAATCTTCTTCAAGGTCCACTTCGGAAATAATAACATTTTGCTCTTGAGAGTGACCTGAGCTTCCTTTTCAGCCCTTTCCTTCTCTTCAGCTTCCTTCATGATTCTTTGAGTTTCGTTCAATTCAGCATCACGAGCCTTCCACCTTTTAAGTTCAACATCATTAGGCTCTCCGTCTTCATCATCATCGATTATGATCTCATCTTTGATCAACTTTTCTTTGTCCTTAGATTCTTTTTTGATAATGGGCTTGGCAAGGACTTTCAGATGTTATACTTTAGATGCACCTCTCCCCCTTGTTTCTGTTCAGACGATTGAGAACAAAACACCCTGTAAACGATACATCATTATGAAGATGGGGCTTAATCTCTCAGCAAGGTGTTTACGAACCATAATAGAAATCATTAAGTCCCTGGTCTCAATGATATCTGAGAGCAAACTAGTGACATCTGTAATGCAGCTTCGCACAATTGCCCTCTCAAATAGCAAATCCTTGACATATTGCTCAGTATGTTTAAGCTTTTGATCCAACACTTTGACCTTCTCTGTCTTTTTGGCTAGGGCATCCATTACTTTATTTTCCATCGCCAAATCATCCTGAAGCTTTGTAATTTTCGAAGTAAAGGATGTTTGGAACGATGTATGGTCTTGCTGGAATCCAGTGCGAATCTTTTTTAAGTTGATCTTCTCAGTCTTGAACATCGCTCCCAAGTTTTGAATAGCTTCATTTGCGGATGCAGTGTTATTGTTGTAGGTTGGTATGTAATTCTCCATGAAGGTGGTTGTTTCAACAATTAGTTTATCGACTTTTTCAGTTGTAGATTTGCAAACATCAGCATATTCTAAAACTGTTGTGTTCATCTTTGTAGCATTCTCAGCATGTTCTTTTGTTATTCTCTCAAACAAGGAATCAACATTTTCTTTTGAATAGGCGTCAGAGGAGGAAGCCTTGGAGGCAAGAAGCAGTTGGTCAAGTTTCTCAAGAGTTGCTTTAAGCTGCCCTTTGGAAACAGTGGTTTCATCTTCACTTTTAGTCCTGATCTGAAATGGACTGTAAGTGAATCCACCAAGATCATCATCAACACCATCATCTCCAAATATCATATTTGGATCATCATTGCGAATATAAGATATGGATGAAGAAACATAGGGAGTGAATACTGAAGTTTTAGCCCCCGTATCAGATACGGTAACCGTGACTTCAGGGTTCATGGAAATGATAAGTGTTGTGGTTAAATCAGTTAAGATTGGTGTGGAGAAAGGAATAGTTTTAGGTTGAGATGAAGTAACAGGAGGGGGGCAGTGAGCAATTGTGATAGGGGTTGAGGTTATTTTTGGTGAAGGAGGAGTAGAAGGAACAAATTTATTAACATTTTGATGTACCTCGGGGTTCGGAATTACCTCTTGCGAACTGGAGGCTCTTGGTTCGCATTTGGGTCCTCATTACGAACATGCTCTTCCTCCTCATTGCGAACGGGTTGATTTGCTTCAATCCGAACATCCGACTCAATCTCAGAATTGGAATCTTCACTTGCTGATGGTGTAGGGGTTTTTCGTTTGTGAGCCAGTTGTTTTCTTCTTTTTGGAGTAGAAGCAGAAGATGCTGTTGGTGCCTTTCGTTTTTTAGGCGAAGGTTTTGTAGCACCCGATGTATCTTCTATTGTAGCAGCCTTCTTGTAACGACCGAAAAATCCAACCAATTTAAATTTTTCAAAAAACAACTTGATTTCATCAAATTATTACAAAAAGGTTTTCAATACAAATCATTTAGAGTATTCCCAAAATCTCATTGCTACAAAATCATGAGAAGCGGTACGATCACGCCTTCGCCTTGCCACAGTCTCCTGAAGAACCTGAAAAACATTAAATCACAACTATAAGCCCGAAAGCTTAGTGAGATACCTTTAAAATACCAACCACATATACCATACACGTAACATGCTATCTCATAACGAATCACAGAACAGCCATGCATATCGGGTCTACTGTGGGACTGGTCCGCCTTGTAGGGCCTTCAGTCCACCTGGTCCACCCTCCGTGTCCAATCATGTCCCTCTAGTCTGTAGTGTGGTTGGTCCACCCGCACTGGGCCTTCAACTCCCCTGGTCCACTCTCTGAGTCTACAGTATGACTGTTCCGCCCGCATCGGGCCTTCAGTCGGCCTGGTCTACTCTCCAAGCCTCGGCACGTCTCGTCCGCCCTCGTGGGGCCTACAGCCTATCCGGACCGCTCGTTGGGCCTTCGGAATAACCGGTCCGCCCTGGGTATCTTGGCCTACAGCACGAAGCAGGACCCGTCTCAACCCAACTCCAATCCAAACAATCATGTACATATAAACAAGCAATCACATAACAATTCATATTCAGTCAACCGATCTAGCAGATCACATATCACAACATACTCTAACAGGATACCGACTTAACCGGTCACTAGCATAGCCTCACCCTACATACCAGGATACCGACTGTGACATCCCCAAAATCACGGCCAGAAAAAAACCGATTTTGTTTATGCTTTATAAAAATCAGAGTACTTCATTTTATAAAAAGGTTGCGGAATTTGTTCCCAGAAAAACATGGTAAATACGTTATTAAAATATTTTCGAAGAAACGTATTTATTTCATTTTAAAACATTTGGGATGTCATCGTTAATACAGGAACATAAGCATAAACAGAACTTACAATTATTCACACTAGTGGTCTACATCTCTTTAAATCTCTCAGTGTAATGTCACTTCATATCAACACCTGTGGTATAAATAAACTGAGTGGGTCAGGTTGGGAAACCTGGTGAGCACATAGGGATTTCAATCCCACAATGTTATGCCATATATATAGTTTAAAATTCACAAAATATACAATTTCACCATACATATATATAAACAACTCTTATCCCACCCCGTCGATCCTCGCAACGAGGCTATCCATACTCTCGGACCTAAGATTAGTCGTTTTACCTACTCCATACTCTCGGATCAGAAATGAACGAATTTACCAAATCCATACTCTCGGACTAGGGACGAATGACTAATCCATACTCTCGGATTAAAGATGAATGATTATGCCTAATCCATACTCTCGGACTAGGGACAATAGCTAATCCATACTCTCGGATTAACGACGAATGATTATGCCTAATCCATATTCTCGGACTAGGGACAATGACTATGTCTAATCCATACTCCCGGATAAGTGACATATACTAACTTCTATTCTCTGAGTTTAACTCACTTGTACTCGTAAGAATATACTACCCAATATTCCTCATATTTAATTTAGGTCTACTCTTTATCCTAAATTATCAAATATAATCAGGTATGTTCTTTAACACGAATTTCAAGCAACATCAATTAACTCGCACATAAACATATAATTAATACTTCAATCAATACTTGTATTAAAATCATGTTCATGAAAGGGACTATGCACTCACCTGAGAAGGTGGTGACTCGGTACTCGGACAGCGCTTCGTTTACTTTAAAATAATTTCCTTCGACGAAACCTAGTATTATCACCAATAGATTTTAGTCTATTATTCGCCGAGACTAATTAATAGTCTAGCTATTATTACTATTATATAAGCGTTAAAAAAATACTTATATAACCCATAATAATAGCCCAAGTATTTATTATATGTTCTTAATAACGTTAATATAATTAAATAAAAACTATATTAAAAATAGCGTAGGCGTAGCTCACTTACAGCGGGTTTTATAGAAAACCAGGCTTTGCTTGGAGCAGCGTTTATGAGCCGAAAAGCTCTTCTTCTCGGAGCCGTCGAGCACTCCGGGGCTTCCGCCTCGTGCTAGGGAGGTTTCCTAGGCTTTTCGGGGGATTTCGGGACTAGAGAGAGAGTAAAGAGAAGAAAGAATGGGAAAGGTGTGAAGAAAATGAGGGTGGGAGAGGTGGTATTTATAGGGTGAAAATGGCTGAACTTGGTGCCACATGTCACCATCTAGTGGCAAGACTTGGGGAGAAAGCAATGGCCAAGATTGTGCCACATCACCCATTTTCGCACAACACACTTCCGACTTCTAAAATCCGTAACTTTCACATACGACCTCCGTTTTTGACGTTCTTTATATCCACGCGTAGGTAAAAATAATATCTACAACTTTCATTTTGACTCCGTCGGCTAATTCTCGACCGATCTTAAATTTAACAGTACGAGGCGTTTAGACTGTTAAATGACCGCGAAGAATTCGTAACTCCTTCATACGGACTCCGTTTTCGTCTGTCTTTTTACCGTTGAGTTCCTATTAATGAGATCTTCAACTCTCATTTATTTCACGTAAGCCAAAAACCGCTCGAACTAAAATTCGAGTTTCGGGCTGTACACTGCTAAGCCGAATCTTAGAAAAATCATAACTTCCTCATACGAAGTCAGATTTGGGCGTTCTTTTTATCGACGCTCTTAGTTTAACATATTCTACGACTTTTGTTTAGATTGCTAAGGCTAAAAAGTCTTCTATCGTAAATTCACTATTTACGTCTTCCGGTGCTGTGCCGGTTTTGCCGTAAAACTTCGGCGGGCCATAACTTCTTCGTTATAACTCGGATTTCGGCGTTCTTTATATGTACGGAAACCTTGTGACATATTCTAAAACTTGGTTAAGACTATTCATTCTAAATAATCTTTTGTCGAAAAGTCATTTTTGACCCCTATTGCCTCTAAATTGACTAGCCCGGATCTGCGGGCGTTACAATTATCTCCCCCTTAGGATGATTACGTCCCGGAATCATCAACGAAACAAGGATCGTATAATGACTCCATACGTCATCTCTTCATCCTAGGTAATAATTATAACTTCTTTATTCCTTCAAGTCTATCTCTTAGACTTATTGACTGTAAGCAGTACTTGATCGTGCACCTGCTCTCTACCTCATATTAGACTCCAAATTATGACCTATCATCATGTGATGTACGTTTAGACTCAGGTCTCTTAAATTCTAAAACAGACTAAGCCTTCCTTCATGTTCTAATGTGATATAATCATACTTTAACATGTAGCATTTCTAGCTACCAACGAGCGCGATACTTCTATTGATCGCTTTGATTTTAATCGTTTGGTTTAAGTCGGACGCTATATCAAACTTGGTTCTCTGAACCACGTAACCTACTCATCGTAGTCGGACTCAAGGTGATATGACCACTAGGGTCGGGATAACAACAATCTTCTTAGTCATTACCGAAACAATGGTAACGGCATACTTGAATAAAACGAAATCAATTACTGGCTTCTTGGTAACCTTGTGACTTTCCCTGATCCAAGTGTGAGTCCTGTGCTTCCGGTAGTATAGGCCTCTACTACCATTCACACCTACTCATACTCGTCCCAAGTATTGTCCCGCAGTTTTTCCAAGTCACCATACAAGAAAACCATACAACAACTTAACACATCAGATAACAAAACAAAGGTTTTATATTATTTCTTGAAACTGTTACATAGGTGTTCAAGTTCACCCTAGACTATGCCTCTAACGGGCTACATCGTGAGGTACTATCTACACGATTACTCCATAACTCGATCCTCGGATGTCAAGCCTTCACTCTTGAATCCTTGCATTGTCATCTGCTTCGTCAAGGATCATTTGAAATGCTCTCGCCTTTGGCTTTGGTGGTACATTTGGCTTTGTAGCCCCTTCTCTCTTTGGGCAGTCTTGTTTGAAGTGTCCTTCTTCTCCACACTTAAAGCAGACTTCTCTCTTGGTTGTGCATTCGCTGGCGTAATGACCAGTCTTCCCGCATTTAAAGCATGTCGTATATTTAGAGCATTTCCCGATGTGCTTCTTTCTACACTTGTCACACCATTGCGTTCCTTCTTCAAACTTCGAGAATTTTCTCTTCTCGCTGGACCTTGAAGATCCTTCAAACTTTCTCTTCTCGCCAACCTCCATCTTGCTGGAGGCTCTTCCCTTGATCATATCTTCGACAGACTTGGCAGCCCAGATAGCTGCCTCTAGAGTAGGTGCTTGACGCACTGGCACCGCGTACTCCCATGGAAGTCCTTTTGCGTACTTGTCGATTTTCGTCAGCTCATCCGGAACAAGACGCAAGGCGAACTCCATCTTCTCTGTGAAGTTGTTGGTGTATTCATCGATTGACATGCTTCCCTTCTTCAGGGTTAGAAACTGGTTCTCTAGCTCAAGCAGGTTTTGAGCTGAGCAGTACTTTCGTTTGAATTGCACCAGAAATTCTGCCCATGTCAGTT